GCTAAGGTAGATCCTATTTTCAGAAACTTCATTGAAAAATTTATTAAAATAGCCCATCCACATATTCTGAATATCTTTGTCTAAGAAAAGAACTTTTTGATTTTCATCTTTAATACACTTTACTTATCTTTATTTTTGTTCTCTTTGTTTGGCTAGTTTATACATATTTTTCACCCACTATAGTATCTAATTTATTACAAAGAGCAGAATTTTTAGCGTCATAAATTATTTTCTTAGACTCCCTATGAGTCACATTATATTTTTTTAATTCTCAAAGCTTTTATATTTAAACTAATATTTATAATAACTTTTTATATTTTTATTTTTTCTTGCACAATATTATTCCAACATCAACTATTTTTATTTATAAAAAAATTTTCTCTTGATTATCGATGTATATCTTTTGCCACTTGTTTAATATTATTTGCTACTTTACCCACATAGAATTTGCTTCTAGAATTTGCTTCTTCATGAACATCCCAAGTCTTGAAATCTTGAAGTTTATTTATAAAAATAATTTTATTTATGACTTTTAGGTGCCCTCATCTAATTTTATGACAAAGAAATCTAATAGTCTTTATCTTACAACTCATCATCTTAAAATCCAGAACTAATTGTCGATATTGAGTCCTTAAATTCTCAATAGAAATGACCTTACAATCTTTACATTCTCGACGATCTCTTCTTCTCGAAAGAAAATAATCAATTTGTGTTTTATTAGATCTATTTTTATAAGTAATAATATGCTCATTTTTTAAAAAAAAAAATATTAACAACAATAAAATAATAAGCAAAATCTAATATGAATCTACCGTCTTTATTAATTACTCTAAAACCTTAGTCACCGAGAATATTTAGACCTACTCGAGGAGCATAAACATTTATAAAATTAAAAATCTTGGTATCAACAACAATCTTAAGGGCTTTAATTCCATCTCAAATTCTATTAATTTTATAACATTATCTTTCAAGCTCTTATCTATAATTACACCTACACCATTTCTAGTGTGACTCCTACTTGAATAATAAAATTTAAAACCTAAGCTACCAATCTCATTTGCCTTTTCTCCAACCCATTTAATTTATTAAATATATAAGATAATTATCTTTCTATGAATCATAATATTAACTAATTTCATTAATTTACTAGTCAGAATACCAATATTCCAAGATTCTATCATAATATTAGTTTCATGAACTAACTTCTTTACCCGCATATGTCTGTATTGTGGAAATTCTTACTTATATGACACTAAATTCAGTTGTCGGTGTTGCGACCCTTGCACACTTTTCACTATATTCAAGTCATACAGCGCGTCGCTTTCGGGGGCGCCCTAACATTTACACAATTATCTAAAGGAAAGATTTTTCATTTTCATGAACAACCCAAATCTTGAAATCTTGAAGTTTACTCATAAAAATAATTTTATTTGTCTTTTAGGTATTCCAATCTAATGTTATGATAATGATTCATAGTATTTTTATCTTACAATTTTTATCTTAAAATCTATAATTAATAATCGATGTTGAGTATTTAAATTTTCACTTGAAATGACCCTACAATCTTTACATTCTTGGTGATCTCTTTTTTCATAAGAAAAAATTCAATTTGTGTTTTATTAGATCGATTCTTATAAGTAATAATATACTAAATCACACGCTAAAGAAAAATCTAATATGATTCTACTTTTTTCATTAATCATTCCAAAACTGTAGCCACCATAAATATTTTTAAAATCTTCTATCACTCTATCAACATATCAATTTAGATATCCCCAATAAAAAATTCTTTGATCAAGATGTATCATTTGTATTAATTATTGTAGGTCATTTCAGAACTTTTTTTTAAACCTATATCTAAACCTACTTGAGGAGCATAAGCATTTCTAACATTAAAAATCTTAATATCAACAATAATCTTAGGGGCTATAATTTTATATCCAATTCTATTAAATTTTACAACATTACATTTCAAGCTTTTATCTATAATTACACCTACACCATTTCTAGTGCGACTCCTACCAAAATACTAAAGTTTAAAACCCAAAATATTAATCTCCTTAGTTTTTTCTCTAACACATTTAGTTTCTTAAATACATAAGATATTTATTTTCCAATGAAATAAAATATTAACTAATTTTATTAATTTACCACTGAGAGTGCCTATATTCCAAGATTCTTTCTTAATATTAATTTCATGGACAAATTTCTTTATCCACATCTGTCCGTAATGTGGGAAGCCTTAAGTATTTGACACTACACTCGGGCGCTGGTGTAGGGGCCTTCGCTCACTTTTCGCTGTATTAAGATCATACAACGCATCGCTTCTAAGAGAAACCCTAACATTTACACAAGGATTTAAAAAATTAATGTCATAATTTTTTAACAAATTTTACACTCGCTGTCAACTACCAAACACAGTCCTTCACTTTTCACATCCAGGGCTTGAGACCCGACAATGATAGTGTTCAAAAAATTTGGGTCCAACCAAGGATCTTTGCAATGAATTTATGCCCTTTTGTACTCCTCCATTTATTAAAACTAGAGATAAAGTTAGCTCCTAATCAACATTCCTAAACATTGAAATGAATTTATTCAAGCACACCTGAGTATTGAACTTGATCCTCCACATGCAAATCAATAAAGTTAACAAGGTCTAAAAAATTAAATTGAATTATTCAAATATCCTAATGATGGATGTGTTAAAAGGCAAATCTCAATAAAAAAAGAATCATAATTTTAAAATACCTCAACTTCCAACATAAATCATTTCAGATTTGAGACAATAAAAATATTAAAATTTAATTTTTTTTTATAAATTCATAACATTCAAGTGAAATTTACAGCTTAAAGTTAAAAACAAATATTCAACCACTCAGCATAATAGTTTCTCAAAGGTACTTAATTTATGATATTGTAAACTCATAAAGAGCAAATATTATATCTAGCATATATTAATGATCAATCTCAAAAATCTCACACCAACAACAAAATGACATATCTAATAGAGTACTTTTATGTCAAAAAATATTATTAAGGTAAGGTAATGATCAGGGCCTTCTGACTTAGTAATTTGTCATAAAATAACACCATTAACTTATGGCCATGGCTAATGCACACAAGTTACTTAATAGCTCAACCCCACAATGGTAAATGATAAAGTGCACTTGATCAGGCACCAAGCCTTTTATTAGCAAAATTCAACTAGAAATTATCCTCTTAGATAAACATTCATCACATTTCTAGAAGAACCCCTTGGAAGATACAAATCATGGTTGCTAACAATTACCGTTAGATCATGATGGGTTGGTTGAGTACATACATTAACTAAATAGGCCATGATTTATCAAGATCATTCTCCCACTATCAGCTCTAAGCTAAAGGCGACATATTTTTACTCAACCATAAAATTAAATTGTTGTCGCCAAACACTAAATGCCTACCAAACCTTAATAAAATACTTGTAAAAAGGGGTATTTAATATAGTGGCTTATGCCCATGGAACTAGATCATAAAATCCTCGTAAAATGAGGGGAAATTTCTAGTAGTATTTTATATTAAAACCAACTTGACTTCTGGCCCAAAACAACAAATCTCATACAATTGTCAAGCCCAATTTTTTTAAGTCCATAATCAGCCACTAAATAGCAACATTATACAATGTGTATAACCAAAGCTAACATATTCGCTCATGGTTCAACCTATAGATTATGAACCATAAGGTATGCTTTATTGGGCACAAAACTTTTCTATTAGCTAAGGCTGAATTAAAAATGGCCCTTCAAGCAAAATTCACTCAAGTCTTTAAGGTCTCCATGAATGATGCAACCCATGATTGTTTATAATGAGCATTCAATCAGGTTGGGTCAAATATCTCTGCTAACTAAGTAGCCAAAGTCCACGACAACTTGGGAAAATAAAAATATGGAACATTGATCAAGTGTCTTATCATTCCCTCCATCATCCACCATAAGATAATGATGGTATAATTTTTTATGCTAACCAAATCATTGCTAGTACAAACTAAAGATTTTGAGCTTATCAACTAGCAAAAATAAAAAAGTTCTCTTTTATGATTGAGAGGAATAACCATCGGAGGAGCTTGCACCTATAGAAAAGCTTGAACCAAATAATAAATTTCTCAAAAAGAAGAGCAAAATCTCTGCATGATGCCTTATCTGATATCCAATCTATCTTCTAAGAATTTAGTAGAAAATACTCATATAAAAAGTTGAGCAAAAAAAGTTAAAGCCACGATGTAGACCTCCTCCAAATCAACTACAGTGCATGTCAACCATAGTGAAAATTTTTTGGGAACTTTTTCATCAAGAAGAGTCTCACCACTTCTAACCCCATATCTCTCTCTCTTCCGGCCTCTCCACCTCTCTCAAAGCATGCCACAAAGAAGCAGGCACTAGTACATAATGCATGAAGACATGCACAACAATAGACCGCCACCATGTCTCCTAACTGCACTAATCACCCTCCTCTCTCCCTCCAAACAGCATTCTTATTGGCTCTTACCTGCCACCACATTCTATTTTTTAGTCCCTTAGATCAAACAACAGATTTGCAAACCGCTTTTCAATTATTCATTTTTTCTTCTTGTCACGCCTCATGTACATTCTCAAAAGATTATAAAGGGAAGCTGAGGAATACAAATCTACAAACCTTCCAACAACATTTCAAGCACATTTTATTCTATTACAGCCTTTAAGAACATTCAAGTCATATGATTATGCCCTTCCAATTAATTTTAGATTTTTGTTCTAAATTGAAGCAATCACTAGCCTCCTGAAACACATTTAGTAATAATGCTATACTTATTATTTGCAGAACCTGGTGTGAAAACATAGAAGAAGAAGGTGATGATGATGAAAAAAAGAAAAAGACGCATATGAAATAAGGGAAACATGTAACTATTTTTCACCACAATCAGATGCTGTAATTTGCAGATATAAAATATAACTTGCTGCTTTATGTCATAACTACGTATATACCAGAGTAAAAAGCAGAGATTGAGCACTCTGAAACTTTGAAATAAGCATAAACCTGCACAAGAAAGAACACAGTCAGGTTACTAGAAGATAGCGACGCTTACGAAAAAAGTTTTAACAAAATGTAAAAAAAGAAAAAAAGAAAAGACAATGTTAACAACTTAGCATGGACAACTTTTAATGGAAGAGACCCAGAATGCTAAGCAATGGAGTGCCCTTCGGGAAAAAAAATTATTTCACATGAGGAATGCATAGCACTTCATACCCTCTATAATGTCCAGTTGCTTCATCTATTGTGTCCATAGCCTGCCAAAGTAGTGTAAGCGGAACCCAATGTGGTGGATATTTAAAGCGGGCAACATCCAAGATTAGTGCCATATCACGACCAGCATGATAACCACCGATGGGAGAAAAATGACCGCTACCTGTCTAAACAATAAGAAAATTATTGGACTCATTTGGTTAACATCCAAATACTAAAAAAACAATAGAAAGAGCTGACCAACGTAAGCTTAAAGAACCAGAATGAACATTCAGTAAAGCATTATTTATGTGACATTCTGATGATTATTTTCTAGTAGTCGCAATGCAGTATCATATCACTGATACAAATTAATTTGATAAAAGGTTTTTACTAGGAGAATCAGCAGAGGTATCTTCTGCAAGAACTGTAGAAGTCATGCAGGAAATTATAGCAATGTGAAAGACATACCGACAAGCAAAGTAGTATGAAAAACATTTATGGCTACATCCAGAGCAAGAAAGTATTGTTATAGATATTTAATGATTCAACCCAGCTAGTTTAGCTAAGATATTCAATCCAGCTAGTTTAGCTAAGATTGGACAATAGAAGCAAGAGAGGCACACAAAAAAGATATAGAAAAAGAAATTAAAGGCAATGTTTTCCAACAAAGCCGATAACATTTAACTTGTAAATGGGTCAGGGATCAAAATCATATATCAAATGAACAAACTTGTCAATTTCAGGGATCATGGATACTAGGACTACAGCAAGGTTTTGACATGACTTAGTACTCCATCCTACTCGCACAGGTTGTCTCGAATGGCTCGTTCTCGCCTGCAGTTGCGCTAGGGCTTGTCGTCCAGAAAAGCTGCTCGCACATTGCTTTGTGCAGCTTTCACTTGTCTTCAAGGGTATCCTGCATATCTGATCTATCATGATCGCCCACGTGCAGCCTGCCTACGTCTGTGCTCAGTCAAGTTGGCTCCCCACAAAATCTATTCTCTCTTCTACATTGGCTCTCTACTGCTCACTCATAGAGCAGTTGTCGAGTGCTCTCTTCCTTAGCGACGCCTCATGGCATCTGTTACTTGTTTCCAGTCCGATCTTAGGACTTTTAGGCCTTCATCAACTTCATTCAATATGGTAAATTTTTGTTTCAAATCACATCTTCGTCATCATGCTCCCTCCTTTTATCTTCGACTGATGCTTTACCAACCATTCCACTTTATAACTTAGACCAATCTACTTTGCCGCAGATAGTTCCACAAGATTCTTTGCTTCTCCCTTCTTTGACATCTCCTAGGGTTAAAGAGGAAAGGTTGTCTCCCCATTACCCCAAATATTTCTCCTAATCCTCGCATTTTAGTTGAGGTTATTAGTGGGTTAAATCACTCATCTCTATTCTCTACCTAACAATCTTTTCCCTGCTCTCTTCAACATCTTAAGCATCCTTCCATATATCAAGGTAAACCAAACATTATCTTTTCTGATGACTACATCACTGAACTAGCTTAGACCTTTTTGCTTTTCTATTACCGGTAAATTTTCTTTTGGTCATCCTAATATAGAAACCATCCACAATTTTTTTGTATAATTTAAAATTATTCGGCACACATTTCGTAGGGCTTATGGATTCTTTGCATATCATAATTAATCTTGCATCAGAAGCTAACTACCATAAGGGCTTGCTTGGGAGTTTCTTGGCTTACTAAACTCTTTAATATTATTTTAAAAACTATAAAGATGCTTGAGAAGTGGAGAAAGAGTATTTTTCCCCATTTTTAAGTTTTAAGAATAAAGGAGATGCACAAGAGCGTGCAAATTATAGACGAAATAAGTTGACGTGACATACTTTAAAATTATGGGAGAGGGTAATTGAACATAGGTTAAGACGTATTACAAAGATTTCTCATAATCAATTTGGATTTATGTCGAGCAGGTCTACTATGGAAGATATACATTTATTGAGAGGTTTAATGGAGAAGTTCAGAGATAATAAGGAGAATATACATTTGATTTTTATTGATTTTGAAAAAGCTTATGATAAGGTTCCAAGAGATATCCTTTGGAGAGTTCTTAAGAAAAAAGGTGTTGATATGACTTATATTCAAGTCATTAAAGAAATGTATACTAGAGCTGTTACTGTTGGATTACATCAAGGATCGACTTAAGCCCATATCTTTTTGCTTTAGTTATGGATGGTTTTATGGATTGGATGGTTTTACTGGACATTTATAGGAGGATGTACCTTGGTGTATGCTTTTTGTTGATGATATCCTTCTCATGGATAAGACGAGAGAAAAAGCCCAGAAAAAACATGAATTATAGAGGTCTACAATGGAGTCTAAAGGCCTTCATTTGAGTAGAACTAAAACTGAATACATGGAATGTAGTTTTAGTACTAGTAGCTCTAGTGACAGAAGTATAACTTTGGGTGATCAAATTATTTAAAGGTGTGAACGATTTAGAAATCTCGGGTCTGTTGTTCAAAGCGATGGTGATATAGATGGGGATGCTAATAGTAGAATTCAAATTGGTTGGTTGAAGTGGAGGATTGCTTCAGAATAGAAAAGTATCGCTTAGATTGAAAGGAAAATTTTATAAGGTGGTGGTGAAACCTGCAATGCTCTATGACACTGAATGGTGGCCTTTAAAAGAGAAGCATAATACTAAGTTAAGTGTTGCCGAGATGAGAATGATTAGGTGGATTAGTGGCTTTACACTTAGAGACAAAATGCAAAATGCATATATCTGTGATAGGGTTGGTGTAGCTTCTGTGACAGACAAAATCAGAGAAAGTCATCTTAGATGGTTTGGTCACATTAAGCATCGATCGTCTGATGATCCGATTAAAAGAGTAGATATTTTAGATTCGACTTATGTTAAGAAAGACAGAGGTAGACCTAGGAAGACTTGGACTTATCGTATAAAAAAAGATCTTAATTGATTGGAACTAAATAAAAATATGACACTAAACAGGACGCAATGGAGAAAAAAGATTCATGCAGCCGACCCCACGTTGTGGGATTAAGGCTTTGTTGTTGTTGTTGTTGTTGCTTTTATTTTTAAAATGTGTTTATTTAGTGCATATTTTTCATGTATTTATTTTCATAAGAAATAAATTAACATTTTTTTAAAACACTCAAAACATCTAAAATTTGTCCGAGTATTTTTAAAAATAATTAAATATGTTATATCATACCAAATATATTTTATTTAAAACAAAATTATGTACAAAATAAAATAAAAATGAAAGATTAAAAAATAAAATTAAAAAAAAATGATCCCAAACTGCATTCAAGCCTCTTTCTCAACAAACCAATTATATTAGTGGGTTTCCAATGTGTATGCTAAAATAGTCACCCCACTTTGACTCTTAAAAGGAACCACCAAGTACTCAAATATGGATATCATTCTCTTATTTGCAGCTACATTTTCAACGAATCCTCATTGTATTCATTAGGATCAACATTTGGCAAACCATTACAAAGTGGATAATGCTATAGCTCCTTTTCAAAGACCTTTAGAAGCATGTGTACTAGTCGAACATAATGAGATATAGCCGGAGTACCCCTCACCCTTGAATACATCAATAGAAGGGAAAACAGAGGACGCTGATGGCTATCCTGACAGAAAACATCATAAAAACTAACCTTAAACACCAAGAAAACAACATATATAATACTAGGTAATAAGAGATGGCCCCACTCCTCTTAGATGACAGCCCTGAACCTCTAGGAGAGTTAGTCCCCTTGTCAGTTTTATTTTTGACGATGGGGGGATAACTTTATAGAACCAAACATACTTGAAGTTTTAATTACTTAATAATCAAACACGACATCAAAAATATTATACTCTCAAGAGATACAAATATCACTTGACGATGGGTCCATTAAATTACTTAAATTAAAATTTTTTGAATATTTGCAATGATCTACGATTAAAACCGACAAATCTTTTCCCATCTTAATTTCCAAACTAGAAAGAGTTTAGATTAAATCTAAGGTCTTAAACTTTCTATAGGTGTAAGCTTTTAAAATTAATTATATCTTAAGCAACAAAAGTCATTTAAAAAAACTTTCGATTTTGGCTAAGATTTTATCTTCAAGAAAACTTTTCAAGTTCAAGTTTCCATGATTGATTATTGAAATTTTACATAGAAAAGGCTCAAAGGTGGAACAATTGTTAACAGAACCCAAAAGAAGAAGAGTAGAAGTTGTCGAAGATACTAAAAACACTCAGTGACATCTCAATTGTCCTATTGTTTGACTTTAATGACTTTGAAAGAGGTTTATTTGATGTTTTACCTTGAAATTTTATTAGAATGTAAGGACTTAAAACGAATGATATATAATTTTAAAAAAGCATAAAAGGTGGGGATTTATGCCGTAGCTAGACGTATAACATCGGGATCCTATAACTGAAGGGAGGTTCACTGAAAAAAGTGAAACCTCAGAAACCTTATCTAAATGGAATGAATGAACACAAACATATAAATGCAATGGATTTATATCCTTGTCTGGAAACGATTGTCATCCAAAACACTTAATCACGGTGAAAACCATGCTTGACCGGTCTCAATGCATGCAAGATAAGATAGACTGTTATTTAATAGGAGTAGTAGGTCTTACAATTTGATTACAAACCACACAGTCTATGTATGATTGGTATAAACAATGCCCTAAGACTAATGTGAATATACACTTGCGATTTAAAGTATAAATATTTTATGGCTCACCACACTAAACAATTTTATTACTTTGTGTTAACTTTTAGTGCTGAGTGAATAGAACAAAAATGTAATAGATTATGTAAATTATTGATGATGAATACTTAGAAGATTTGTTTATAAAGCTAATTGAATGCAAAGGCAAAACTCACTCTATAAAGCAGTGTTCCTCACAGAACAAACCATCCATTTTCGTATAATGATTGAGAGCTTTAAAAATAAAGAGTTCGAACAATATGATTATGCAAAAACCTCTGGTGATATTTTTGTGGCAGTTCCTAAGTCATAGACGTTTCTACTCTTTTTTATTTAATATCAATTTAGTTGTTTTATATGCATGATGTTTCTAAAGTTGTGAATATAATATTTTGTGTAAATTTATTTTAATTAAGAGTTTCATTAATGTTTTGAAAATATTAACGTTTGGTTTGGGTAGAAAATTTAGTCCTTAATCCT